CATAACAGCAAATAAATATCAGAGATTTGCACGATGTCTGCATCAATAAGCAAAATTCACGTCACAAACTCTACAGGATTGTCGTTGAATGAACGTTTTACTGCAGTGCAGGATCGACGTCGTGAAGTTCCGGAACGGACTTTGCGTCCACCTCGTCCAGCTCGTGACACATCTGTCGCTAATCGCCGTTTACTACAACAATTAGCCAGGAGACATAAAATGCAAACAGCACTAAAACTAAAAAATGTACGTGTTTTGAAAGTGTCGAGATTTATTATCACTTGATGGAAAACGAACAACAAATGGTTGGCTTAGAGTAAATAATTTGAGTTGAAGGAAGTAAACTGAGGCCTTTAAGAGGCAGGAAGTGTTTTTACGCAGTCGCACCATGAAGAAAATGTTTTTAACATTGCGTGTGCTTCAAAGAAGAAAGATAGGAATGATATCAGCTCAACACCCAATTCTATAAGTAGCGCTTTAATACTCGGCGAATATGAAGTAGCAGAACTAACAAGGAACAGAATACAATGTATGGAACGGTTAAATGCGAAATCTATTATGGTTTTCTGCAATAGCAGCTTTTCGTCATTCATAAAAGCGGGTTGACTTGGTATTTTTTTAAAGAACATATTCGGAATATTAGGATAATTGCATTGCAATTTAATATTTTGTACCCCCCTAACATCTAAAACTGAAAGACTCATCTGAAAATAACTGGAGAGACTTCTAACAATAATGTCTTCAAGGCAGTTAGATCTACACCACCTACAGTAGCAGTACTTGATTCCCACCAAGGACAATCGTTCTAACAGCATCCCCACAAGACATTATTTGGAATAACGAAACCTACGAATTTAATTTACAAACTGCACCCACATCCAGCAACAAAATCAATTTACAACTTACTCACAAATCAACCAGATTTATAAATCAATTCAACAAAAACCATGTGCATAATTTTCGCAATTTCCCATCAACGAGAGTTCGCGTCCATATGGTTAGCATTCTGTCTACAAGCATCGCCCCAGCAAATACTCACTTTTCGTCATATTCTGAAATCTCAAGGCGTCCGGGGGAAAAAAGAATCAAAATCGTCGTATTCGAAGTATAGGCAGTTTCTCTTCGTTTTCAAATGTACCCAGCTGTTGGCAGATAACGTAACGAATTTTAACCCTGCGATATCAGTCAACCTGCATACACGCCAACCATATACATTTAAATATTTACAACTTTATAGTTATCGATTACAATGTCTGATGATAATTATAGAATTGGGTGGTTGTTTCGTCAAATGTAAAAAATCTGCATACAAATCAAAACAATTTTTACAATGGTTTAACTCTCGCATTTGGCTGAGTTTTTCGGGAATACAGAGCATTATGAAAACAAAGAGCCAACCAATATTGCTCGCTTAAAATCTTGTAGACGCGAACGAAAGGAACTAAACGAATCACCGTTTAATTTTGAAACATTTCTTCTAATTCACACTTTGTGTGGATCTTACAGAGAAGCATGCGTCCAATTGGAGGAAATGTGGCCATGAGACGCGGCACTATAAAAGCTTTGCGTGTAGCAGCCAATGGAAAACCGATCCGAACCAATAGCTTGACCACCGTTGCAACGTAAGGATTACTTATTCTACTACATATCTATTTTATATCGTAAATGAATTTGCTGCAGCTGCTACAATAAAGAAAGCTTTAGTTGCGGCTGCATTTTCAATGAACTAAAAAAATGCAGACAATCTAAACTTTTATGGAAGATATCTAAATTAAAGACTTTATAGCAATTGTTGCATCTGCGTATTATTCAAGAATTAATGAAAGCACTCGCTACAATATGCATACCAAACAATATATTCAACTTTCTTCACTCCTTCAAATCTAATACAGAATGGAAGCCGATTTGATATCGAATGGCCAGCGAACCATTAACAGACCCTTTCGTCGTGCAAATTCTGTATCAAACCGTTTGGGTTCGCGCCGCCCGCTGGTGGGTGGTGCTGCACAGCGTATTGCCCAACGACGTTTACAACGCACAGATATGGTGAATGATATGCAAAGGCGTGGTCGTTCGCGTAGTCGTTCCAGAGTCCCCGTAGCGATTATAAATTTGACACGCAGTCGGTCACGTAGCACTGGTCGTCGTGGTCCAGGTGGCCAACAAATGCGAGATCGTTCGCGATCTCGTAGCCGTGTCAATGCCGGCGCCAGAGCTAATCTACCTATAAAGGCACGTTTGGGTAGACGCCCCGGAACTCTTGGGCGCCCCCGCCGTAATGCAAGTGGCATACGTGGCGTTGCACAGGGACGTATACAGCGTCGTCGTAATTCAAATACAGCTGCTGGCGTCGGTGGACGCGCTGGCCGCATACGGGGAAGGTAAGTTGTTAACAACACTTAAATATAAAACATATGCTTAGTTTTAATAAATTGTATTAATAATTTACATATTTAGATCAATGACTAGAAACACAAACGCAACGGGACGTTCGCGTTCGCGTTCACGCACACGCAACGGCGCACAGACACGTACACAATCACGTACACAATTACGTACACGTTCACAAACTCGTGGGGGTTCAGCGGTTGGTCAACGCAATATAGGATCGGTACAGGGTGGTCGCGCACGTGGTCGCAGTCAACAGAGACGAGGAGGGCGTACTGCACCAGTACAGAGAAATGGTAAAGCTAATGGTAATAAGAATGGACAGCAACAACAACAGCAAAGACGAGGCCGTAGTCGCAGTCGGGGTGGACGTGGTGGTCGTAATCAAGGTAAAAACGATCCAATTTGTGTTGGGCTTGCGCACACCGCGCCTGGAGCTGTGACATATGTGTGAAGAGGACGTTACGATATTGCATTTACATTCCAATTAAAGTAAGCTGTTCATACATATTTCTAAATTATTATTTTTTCATCTTTAGGTAAGAATGCCAAGCCTGACGTTGATAAGGATAAGTTGGACAAGGAGTTGGACCAATATATGGCGACAACAAGAACTGAGGGCAATGACTTCTTGCTGCGAAATTAGGTCGACTGCGAGGAAATCCCAATCACCGCGAAACACATGCATAGTTTACATACCTAAAACATACATATTTAATTCTACTCCTATACTAGTTTAGTTTAGGGCTACTCTAACTGGCGTGAGTCTAATTATTAAAAAAAAAAAAATATTATAAAGTAAGTTAGCAAAATGCTGCTTTTCTTAACCTATGTACATACATATGTTATAAAAAAATATTAAATTAAGTCCTTAATTTAGTACTTTATTAAAATTTATCTGAGTTTATTTAAAACTCTAAGAAAATATGAATTTTATATTATTTGTTAAACTAAATGCCGTCTTGAATAAATTTGAGTATATATGTAATATGAGTTAAGTAAATACAAAATAATACTGGTTGTATTCTTTTAATCAGGAAATCTTTATGATTTCTGGCTTGGATATGGGGTGCAGAGTGGAAGCGCGTTGAAGTTTTGACGTCTTTAACATCCTGTCTTTAACCAATTTACTAAAGTATCACGTTTAAGAAGAAGGCTAGACGGCTGCATATCAACTTTCTTTGCCAAAGTTTTGCTCTTACCAATGACCTGCTTACTACCAACTGCTATGTGATAAGGGACCCTTTCACAAATTCATTATGTATCTCGTTAACATGTTGCTGCATATGCATGCCATTGACATAGTAAACAGAATAAAGGAAGCGAAAGCTGCTTTGAATGTGATATGCATATTAATTTGTTTGTTGTTTTCGTAATAAAGGACATCATTTTTTATTATTTACTCTTTGATTAGTCGTTATCTTTGTTTTGTTTGTTTATTCGTGAACTTGTAACTATGTTTTCCGGGCACATAACTCATTTTCGCAGCGTATAATTAGAATTCACTTCGTTTGTTCGCTTGAATTTTAGTTGTCCTTTGTTGACCTGATGCTGTTGTTGCTGTAGCGGTACTGCTAAACCATGCCTATTTCGGGTTATCCTTCAATCATTGTCGTCAAACTCAACTAACGTACGCCCAGGAAACGGTCTGTTTCAACAGGATCGGACCAAACGGAGAGGGGTGTCAGCTGAGTAGGGTTGAGCTGAAGAGGTGACTGGTGGGTCTATGTATGCCTGGACCGCGTCCTTGTATACCAAAAGGTGCCCCCTGACGTGCCTGGGCGGAGGGTCCTCATCTAGCAAAGGTCTATTGGGGTGTTCACTTCTTACGGGGAGCACTTGGGCCTCACTGTGTAGGTGGTGCTCAGGCGACATCTGAAGGTCACCTGCCGCTGTCTCTTTCGTAAGACCGTTGTATATTCTGTCTGTCTTAGCGTTATAAATATTTTTTTAATAAAAAAATATATGCATATTTTCCTTTTTAAAACAATCAAAAATAATAAATAAAAGAAATTTAAATAAAAAATTAAAACAGCAAAAATTAATAAAAAAAAATAATGAAATTATAATAAATTTCTTTCTTCTCAATTAATTAAAAAAGAAAAATTTTTAAATTAAAAAAAGAAAAAAGTTCCGTTGGCCGAGACCCGAACTCTGATCATTTTGCACGGCACCTGTGCTCTGCTCACTCGGCCTTTGCGACTGCTGCAGTGACGCCAGCTAAATGATATAATTCCAATGCTTTCTCTCAAAACAGCTTTTCGCCACGAGTGGTGAATGAGAGATCTTTTTTACTAGGAATTTTTTACTAGAATAACAAAAGTCTCTTGAACTGTCTTGCCATCTGTCTTTCATTCGTCTTAGGAAAGGCTTTTTACTATCTTAGCCAGAATTGCCCTGTAAAGAGGGATTTGAAAGACAGTTGTCAGAATTACTCCGTTATTCTGGCACGAAAGTCTTACGAAAAAAAACTCTCTTGAAAACTTTCATGGTGAAAAGCTCTTTTGATCGAAAGCACTTAAACATGTTTCAAATGGAGTTGCATATCATTTGTTCGCGCGGATCCAACAGTCGCAATGGCAGAGGTTTGAGCCATCGAGCAGCGGATTTTTTAAATATTTTTTTTTGTTCTTTTTAATAATTAAATTCCTTTATTTAATTTTTAGATTTTATGGTTTCAAAATGAAAATGATGAATTTTGTAATTTCATTTGATTTTTAGAAAGTGGTTTTATTGGTAAAAAGCAAAATATATTTTTTAATTTCATTGAACTTTTAAAATTCTATTTTAGCTTTTAGCATTTTTTTTCTATTTTGAGCTGGAATTTCGTTTATTTTTTATATATTATAATGTTTTGAAAACAAAAACATGAATTTTTCTTGTTTTAAATTCATTTGCTTTATTTTTAGTATTTGTTCTTTTATATAGAGCAAAATTTGTTTATTTCACACGATTTTTGCTAATTTATTTATTTTTAGTTTTTGGATTTTCTCATTTTGACATTTCTTTTTTTTATTTAATTTTGTTTTGATATATTTTTTGGTTTTAAAAATAAAAATATAATTTTTTATTTCACTGAATTTTTGAGAACTTTTTAATTTTTTTCCTATTTTTAATTAAATTTTATCTTAATTTTTAAATGCTATTGTTTTAAAAAGAAAAATATTAATTTCAATATAAATATTTCTTTTTTCCTCTTTTTTAATTTTATTTTTAGTTTTAATGATTTTCGAAAGCATGTTTGATAGTTGCAGAAATTTTTTAAGATTTCTAAAAATATCATACCAGCGAGCAACGGGATAAGGGCTTTCCCCGACCAACTCTAGTTTTGAATCGAAGTAATTCATGAGTCTAGAAACGATTTTTTGTATCCTACAGTATCCTGCAGTGCAAATATAGCCTTAGCGCTGATTTCATTTATTTACATCAATGTGTCAGGAACTTTAAGGTTTAATATAATTTTTAATTAAGGTATTCCTTCATGCAACTCAAGAATGCTGGATATTTACACACATACATACATAGTATATGGCTACAAATTACAAACAAAGCAAATTTCATTACTGCAATTGCGTAAATCTCTGAAACAGCTCGTAAAATGGCCATAAATGGAAAGTCTTTGATTAAGGTGTTATGCTAGACGCCTTACAAGATATGCAACAGTGTACTAAACATTAGATTGCATCACTTCTCATCAAAAAATAAAAAATAATCAGTACTGTTTTCCCAATGGTATTATAAAAATTATTGCGTGAGCTGGACCGATTTGAAAATACCTCCAAAAATCTAAAAATTCTTTCCTAAAAATACGATTTTCGAGTTATATATTTTCAAAACGATTGATCCTTTATTAAGACAAAATATTTATTATTATGGTTAAAAAATAACTATTTTGATGATTCGGTTTTAGGCATCCTAATGACCTCACAGATCCATATACAACATGTATACGTGTTGCCGAAAAAGGTTACACCTTCACTTGCTCGTCAATGTGCCTTTTAAAAAGTTGCAACAACAAAATAAGCTTCTTTGTTTTTGTTTGTTTGTTTGATTAGAAGGGTAATAAAAAAAAATATCTATACGAGCATTTAAGCGCTCGTCAAACACTTGCAAAAAATATTCTTAACAAGTGGGTGGTATAAGGCGTACTTACCTACATACATACATATGTATGTACATTTGCATGCATATAAAAAGTTTGTGGCAGGCACTCTATGCGCAAATTATGCGAGGGTTGCCGGTACTCGTAGACGAATTTCGTAACGATTGTTTGGGACAAAGATAAAAAGAACAAGTAAGAGCAGCGCTGTCTTCGGCTATGCCGAAGGCTTCATAC